GGACATTGACAGAAATACACATTTTTAAGGAGTGTTCCTGTTCTTTATTATTATTGATTAGTTGAAAACACTAACTTTGATCTGTTAAGGAAAAGGAAAATGGTATTTTGTATGGTACCTTTCTTTTTAAATGCTGGTAATTGAAGTTTTGTGATACATCTGTTTTCTTCAATTGTTGGCATTTGAAGCAGAAACTAATCATAAAAGGCTGATTTTAAAAAGTTGACATACTTTTACAGGAACTCCAGCATGATTAGGTCTTGAAGTAAAGCATAATTACTCTATAAGCATTTTTTTTTTTCTTTTCTTTTTTTTTAATAATAGAAACAAAGTTGCTTATTTTGTTGTATGTAGGCTTTTAAGTGGTATTGAATGACAAATGTGCATTTAGCATAACTAAAGAAAAAGGAATGAATCCAGAATATTTCAGAATTATAACATGTATCTCAGCAAGTCATTAATTTGTCAGTGCCCAATGTTTGCTTATGCTATTTTTTTATGATAATTTTGTTTTAAGCATTTTTCTTTTTGTTCCTTTTGTTTTTGTGTTTCTTTTGCTAATGTCCATCAGGTTCTTGCTTCAAAGCAACTTGAGTCCGTAGAGAAGTAGTGAGAAGTGAAGATGTGACTCAGATTTATTTCACATGACTGAGTGTAAATAATAAACAGTCTTCATTTAATTCATGGACAGATTAATGAAGCTTTACTATGTAATTTACAATTATTGCATCACTGTAGTACTTTATGCTAGTTTTTTCTTTACTTTTATTTTTAATGATAGTAATAGCTTGTAATTATCACTTGTGAGGCACTCAGTGGTTTCTTGGAACGTAAGGAATGTGTATTGTTTTAATGAAGTTATTTTATATTGATTTATGGTGAAGGAAATCCTAGAATAACCATGACTTCTAGACACATAATTGGAACCCATCCTATAATTTTGCCAACACCAAATTCAGTGAAAACAGAGGATGGGAAGTTTTGCACAGCATGGTTTTCTTTTTCTTTCTTTTTCTTACACTAAAGAATTATTTTGGATATAGGTTTCAAAGTAGTTAATTCTTTAAATCTTTTTTCATTCATGTCACAAGAAGAATGTCCTAATTGTAACTTTGATAAGGAAAGAATATAGTACATGTAAGGTCACATATTTTATAGGGCTCAACATAACCATATAATAATTGGTCATTGTCAGAAATTAGAGGTCAGTAAAGCCACACAAAATTCACAAGTGGGAATCAGTTATCAAAGTTATTGGAATGAGGGATAAGATATAAGAATGTCCTAATTGTAACTTTGATAAGGAAAGAATATAGTACATGTAAGGTCACATATTTTATAGGGCTCAACATAACCATATAATAATTGGTCATTGTCAGAAATTAGAGGTCAGTAAAGCCACACAAAATTCACAAGTGGGAATCAGTTATCAAAGTTATTGGAATGAGGGATAAGATATAATTATTAATATTATTATCTGTTCTTCTTTTGGTCTACAAATGTTTGTGTGAAGTATATTTTTTATATTTTTTATTAATGTAAGGATTGATAATTAATGTTACTGTTACTATTATGTGAAACTTTTTTCTTTTGTTCTATTTTCATTATTTGTGAATACTAATAGCAGTTGCTTTTCAATATTGTTAATAGTTTCTTCAAAGATTCAGAGTTATATGTGCTGCAGGTGCATTATATTTTTTTATTAATGTAAGGATTGATAATTAATGTTACTGTTACTATTATGTGAACCTTTTTTCTTTTGTTCTATTTTCATTATTTGTGAATACTAATAGCAGTTGCTTTTCAATATTGTTAATAGTTTCTTCAAAGATTCAGAGTTATATGTGCTGCAGGTGCATTATATATATATATATATATTTTTTTTTTTTTTTTTTTTTTTTTTTTTTTTTTTTTTTTTTTTTTTTTTTTTTTGGCAGCTAATGTGATTAAAGAAAAAAAAACATGTATTAGCAGGATTCTGTTATTTGCTCTTGGGAAATGTACATTTCTGATTTTGGTTGATACTACTACATAAGAGAAACTTCTGGGTGCCTCAGTGGTTTTGAAAAAAAAAAGTTAGGTATTTTTGCATAAAAAAATAATCATTAAGTATTCATTAGAAAATCCAAGCTGGGACCCATACAGGTCTTCATGCCAGGTGCATTGTCCTGCATTGTGATATTGTCTAGCTGTACCAGTGTTAACATAGCAGTCTCTCATACTTATGTTTCTACTTCTTTTTTATTAAACATCTATAAAAAGTTTCACTGTTTTAATTTTTCCCCTCATTTTTTATAGAATGGCAGGGAAGCACATTTTTCTGATGCCAAAGATTTTTTTTTTTTTTTTCTGGTACTCATAGGCATCAATCCAGTCAATAGTTTGGAAGATTTACACTTAGTATATTTTCTTTAGAAGTCTCAGGATAGGTTCAAAACTAGATTAAAATATACCAACACTATGATCTCTACAAACTTTTCTATATAGCTGAGCACTGCCCAAGAGACAGCCAGTTTGCAGGCAGTGCTCATGAAGTTGTTTAATAGTCACTGACCAGTCAGCCACATCTGGCAGCAGCTAGTACTACCAGGTGTATGAGTGCATCATGCCTATTGTCTGATGATTCTGCCAGATTGCAACACAGGCATTCCAGTTTTTAGCCTGCTAAATTTATGCACTGACAATAGTTAGGGAAAGAACACGTCAACTTGTTAAAAGTAATGATGGAAAAAATATTTGCAAGGCATATTACTAAATATATAACTGGAGCAGTAACAAAATGATGAATTCCCTGTGAAGCTCATAATACCTGCAGTTATCCTCTAGACATAGTTGTCTACTGTGGATGCATAGGCTGTCAGCTGTGAAACTTAAAACATGCTAGATGGTAAAAGACTATTGAAATAATCCTTGTGGAGAGCACTACAAAGGTGAAATATTCCTAGCAATTAGAATACTAGAATATGCTAAAATTCAGTATGCATTTCTTGGTATTAGAGTAACACTATATGAAGGTGTGTGTGTTCAAGGGGGTCTCAGACCAATTGTCCGACAATACATTGATTAAATGTTTTGTCACTTTACACCATCTACAACATGGGTAATGATTTTATTCATGTTAATGCACTCTATTTTATAACCGTAGTGCATTAAAGGTAAAATCACCTAAATGTTTAATATACAAATGGTCTGAGACCATATATATCCTAATATGCTGCCTGCTGTACTCAAATCTGTGAATATGGTTGATAATTAAGACTTCATGATGTCTATTTTTGAACTGAGAAGAACATTCCTAACTACTTCCCTTCTGTGAATTTAAGAATGTCCTTTAGAGAATTATAAACACTACTACTTTGATTCTCCTTAAGAGTTTATAAACCTCATTTTCCATGCTCTGGTAATGAAAATGGTTTCATATCTACATCATAATATAACTGACATTCACATGTAACTAGTCATACACTAGATTTAATTCACAAGTCAATTTTACTAACAAGTGAAATTTAATGTTAGTAACTTCTACTTTTTACCTTGTATACTATCAGTGTGTAGAGTTATTAGTGTTGAGAAAAAAAAACATTTCAGAATAAAAATTGCTCCTAACTCATCAATATCTGTTCTCTTTCCTGACTGGAGAGTAGTGACTAATACAGTATAAATACAGCATACACAAGGTGTTTATTAAAATATTTATTTGTCTAGCCATATATATACATATACTATTCTTTATGTTGTACATTTACCATCACAGGAAAAATAAGTATACTAAATGCTAATAAACATACTTTCTCTACTTTTTTCATGTGAATATATAATTTTTAAATGAAGCCAAAGGGAGGGGGAGATGGAACAGGGTAACTGAACATAGAGAGAGAGAGAGAGAGAGAGAGAGAGAGAGAGAGAGAGAGAGAGAGAGAGAGAGAGAGAGAGAGAGAGAGAGAGAGAGAGAGAGAGAGAGAGAGAGGTGTGTGTGTGTGTGTGTGTGTGTGTGTGTGTGTGTGTGTGTGTGTGTGTGTGTGTGTGTGTGTGTGTGTGTGTGTGTGTGTGTGTGTGTGTGTGTGTGTGTGTGTGTTTGTTTTATGCCTTCATGCTTGAAATTACATCCCCTTCTGAAAAATATCCAGAATTCCCCCTCTTAATGGTGATCTACAAATTATGAATACTTAAAAGAATACATTTGTCAGTTGATCCCACAGAGTGATCAGTTTGACATTAGTTAAGTTTTTTGGAGTTTTTTATTTTTTTTTTAGAAAAGGCAATAAGGCCAAAAAAAAGAAAAAAAATAGGTATAAGCTAAGCTTCCTAACACTATCAAGGCATTCCTATCACAAATTTTGTATGAACAAGATTCCATAAAAAACAAACAAATTCAAGACATATGATAACAGGTAATACATAGAAGGGAAAAGTGAAATGAAAAACAGACAAACAATAAAACAAAATCAAGATATTCAAACAATGTTTGTATACTACGTATTAAGTATATCCTTTGATACATATATATATCTAGTTATACTCCTTTTTAATATGCTCAAGTTAACCATAACTGCAAAATGCTCTACTATTTGCTGCAGCAAAGTAGGCTTTGCAAATTATTTGAACACCAATGTAACTGAATAATTTAAAACAAAATTTGAAAATAATTGATACTACAAACTCGAGTCCTTATATATCATAAAGTATACAGCATTTAGCAATTATGAAAGGACATACAGAACACTGCACACCTGTGCGAGAACATAAAGAGAGTGTAAGTGTATGGATGTAAAAGCATTGGGACTGTAACCTTTTTCTCAGTGATGACATGCACTGCAAATGTTAATGAAATAGATCAGAAATACCAATACTAATGAAGATGGAACTAAAAGGTGTCCATCTTCATTTCTTTCACTTTTCTGAAATAGTTCCCTAAGCATGACAAATTTGCATCTAAAATATTAAAAGATAACAGTCTACTAGTGTGCAGTAAATTCAAGCAATAACTGTTTTGACATTACTTTTTTTTTTTTTTTTTTTTTTTTTTTTTACTTTTTAGTTTACAGATTCCTTTTTCACATTTTTCGATCTCTTTTTCTTGTAGTTTATCATACACAAACTACCATTCTTAAATGGAAAAAGGGGAGCCCTGTGAGACAGTAAACATCAAATCATAAAAGGTAACTAGAAACAAAAAAATAATAATAATAGTAATATTTTAATACAATATTTCTCCTAGCTATACGAGACTACATTTGCCTCACAACTTTCCCACCCATTTTCTAAAATGCTCTGTTCCACTTGATGGCTTGAATGATATCCATGTAGTGGACTCTTGCCAAAAAAGTGGAAACAAGCTCATACTCCAGCTGCCCTCCTTGGCGATCTGAGGTCACAACTCCCATCTCCTCCATCCTCTTCTGTTGCTCTCGGCTTGAGTACTGTTTCCTGTGGTGAGAGCCTGAGAGCCTTGCCTCACAGAGCACTTTGGTTGTGAGACACAGTAACCACTGCATAATCTGCAAAGGAATGGACACGGATACTTCAATAAAGTGTATAAAATTAAAATTAAGTGTAAGTGTAAGTGTATGTGTATGTATATATATATATATATATATATATCAACATAAATTTTATATATATATGTATGCATGTATATATGCATGTATGGTAGAAAAACCCATAATGCAAAAACAAAATTTATTTTGTTTTGAAATCCACCTGGATTCCATCTTCAAGTTCTGTGTATGTATGATGGAATTCAGGTGGATTTCGAAACTGTTGGCTCATTTTCAAAAAGTCTAGTTTCTGCATTGTGGTTTTTTTTTTAATGTTAGATCTTTGACAATACACAATCATTTTGCAATCAGAGGAAAAAACAAATCTTACCTCAGTCTGTGATGGAAGAGTAAGGGAATGCCGACTCAGCCATTTGCTTGGAGCCCAAAGAATTAACTGACAGAGTGTGGCTGCCACGTTGGCACTTGGCCGCTGAAACACACAGGATTTTAGGACATTATGTCGAATGTGTGCCCAGTATTTAAGTACGGTGTGTTATAGGTATGCAGCCATGTACAAATTGGAAGGAAACTAATGGAACAAGAATAAGAACATATATGAATAAAGAAAAAACAGGGAGAGAAGAGATATGAAGAGAAAAGATGGGGGAAGGGAAGGAGAGGGATAAAAAAAAGAAAAAAAACTATAGAACCAAACAACCAGGTTGTACTCACATTTCGAGGGTTTCGGCGGAGGAGGTCATGGACGAGATGCCTGACGGCTGGAGGCACACTCTTGGGCAACCGTGGCAGCTGGGATTCCTTGTAGTTAAAGGAGTCCAAAGGCTGCTGCTTGTTTCCTGTGCTGGGATGGATGTGACAGAAAGGGTTCTCCATAGCATACATTTCATAAGCCAGAGCACCAACGGCCCACAAATCTGCATGGGAGTAGTTTACAGGCCGCAGAAATCCTGGAATTGCTGTTTTCACCTGAAATGTGATGGACAGAAAATCAGAATTATGTATAATGATTGTAAAATGAAAACTGGATTAAAATACACCTATTCAATCCTTTTTTTCTATTAAATTGCTTAGGAGCTAAATTTTCTTTTGTAATTAGCAGAAATAATACCAGCATTAATGCCAGCTGTCAAATCATTCCCTACAGTGTAAATTTTATATAAGCAAACAATAAAATGGATTTATGACCAAAATGGAAAGTGAATGGTATAAAACTCATATCCACATACAAACATCAAATAAAAAACTAAGCAAAACATTACCTCAGGAGCCATGAGTGCACTATTGCCCTGTCTGGGATCAACTTCTCGAGACGGAAAAGGAACGGTCATGCTCGTGTCTTCAGTCACAACACTGCATCCAAAATCTGTCAGCACTAAATGAGGGTATTGCCATCCCTCAGCCAGAGACAGAAGGATGTTGTCCGATTTCAGGTCCCTGTCGGATATTTTTCTTATATATATATATATATATATATATATATATATATATATATATATATATATATATATATATATATATATATTTTTTTTTTTTTTTTTTTTTTTTTTTTTTTTTTTATATATATTTTTTTTTTTTTTTTTTTTTTTTTTTTTTTTTTTTTTTAGTGAGTTCCAGGTAACATACATAAGATTTTAATATTAAAAAAAATAATAAAGGTACTTTGCAAAGTTATTTGCCAACAGTTTCAGAATATTATGCAATTTCTATGCACAAAAGTCTGGGTAATAAGGAAACTACAGCAACTTTCAAACACTATTTCCTTTACCAGCAAAATATGCTGAACTTGTTCAGAAGAGTAATTTTTTGAATTTCAGACATCCTTTTCATGAAACTCTTAATGCGACTGAAGATATAAAGGCCAAGGAGATCGACACTGCAAAAGGAGTAAAATTGGTTTATTAATCCATTGCTACTGGAGATGCCATACCCACTGAGTTTAATTGATCAATAGCATGTTTACACATCGGTGGCTCTACAAGTGCTTAGTTACCAAGGAGTC